CATCTGTCTCTCCTCTGTGAGGGAGATCTGCATCTTCCCCCCCCCCATGTCTACCAATCCAAAGCAGTCCAGTGGCACCTTTAAGACCAAGTTTTATTCAGGCACAAGTTTTTCCTCCTCTGCTAGGACAGATCTGCACCCCCCCCCATAGCTAGCAATCCAAAACAGTCCAGTGGAGCCTGAGCAGTGGGTGTTGCCTTCTGACACACTTCCAGTGATGTCAGGGGGTGTGGCCTTCTGACACACTTCCGGTGATGTCAGGGGGTGTGGCATATGCTAATATGTTATGCTAATGAGCTCCTGCACCTCTTTTTCTACGAAAAGACCCCTGTACAGATGTATAACTGATCTAGAAATGCCTCTCCCCAGTTTTGCTGCTCTGGGATCCTCTCTGAGAAACTCTGAAAATGTACAAGGTAAGCAGGTTAGTAGTTCTCCCTTCCTCTAATATCTTCTATCTGGACCAAGTGTGAAGGTCACTGTCATACAGAAAACAAAACAAGACACAAACTAACTGCAATGCACTGATAATCTATAACCAGTAAAACAACTGGTCGATATGTACAGTTTGTAATAGCAGAATACACAGGGATGATGTAAAACTCTACCTGTATTATGGCAATGACTAGCCAGAGGACAGCAGTCACACCAAATCTTAGTATCCGGCTCCAAGGGGCTATGTAACTTTCAGGGCTCCTACTAAGACTGGAAGAAGAATCCATTAAAGCCAGGTTTGAGAACCCCACAATCTGAAAGGTTAATTTCAAAACGATTCATTAGTGATTTGCATTAGCAAATATTCTATACATTCTTTGGATTACCGACTTTAGCTGTTTTTATGAATACCTCAAAGTCCAAACCCTAGAAATTGTCAGGCTTTATCAATATCCATTGTTTTTCAAATTAAAAAAAAAAAGTCCTGCAATCATGATGCAGATGTACACGATTAGATTGGATAAGCCAAAAGAGAACTTCAAAGAGCCAAGTCAGAATATTTTCATAAACGTCATAATAATTTTCTTTAATTCACAAAAAACCCTCTAGCAAAAATTAGCACCAGGACAAGATAATTTTAGTGCTGGAACTTAAAGGTTAGACAATTCAGATGAATCAACACTGATTGCAGTTCCTGCTCTGTGATGTCAAGTACTCCACTAAGCAGTTTGCTTTGCTTCCAGCTTCACAAATATTAGTTGACAGCAAATGGTCCTTATGGAAACTTAAATCAAAAGGGAACCAATATTAGTAATAGCTAGAAGATTACACAGAAATATCAGCAGTGTGGAAATTCCGTATCTTGCTTAAGGACAAATGCCTAAGACAACAAAAGTCCTCACTTCTCTGTCGTAATGTATTAAGTAGCCATTTTATTTTCGTTCACTTGAGTTAGAAAGCTAGAACAGACACAAAATACAGATCCCGTATCTTGCTTAAGGACAAATGCCTAACACAACAAAAGTCCTCACTTGTCTGTTGTAATGTATTGAGTAGCCATTTTATTTTCATTCACTTGAGTTAGAAAGCTAGAACACAGACACAAAATACAGATGAGCATAATACATTTAAGCCAATACCACAACTTGATTCCATTACAAAACTGATGTCTAGCTATTTGCCTTTAACATGTAATTCCTTATATGTATGTGCATGCACTATACACATACAACTGAACAGTGGGAGTCTTTAATGAAAATACAAACACTATGACATATAGTGAAATCACAAATGCACTTTATCATCAGCCGCCCCCCCCCCCCCCCCAGGTCAGTTCACCTATTTCAAACTTGGAAAGTTACCTATGTATTACAGTTGCTATGAAATCTGAAAATTACCTCTAAAAAGAAGAGAACAGCTAGCACTTGAAAGAGAGGGTTTATTTTCCTGATGGTCTGAATTTCATTCCATTCATTTGCTATAAAATATGTTCTCCATATGCTGACAGGTGTGGAGGTACTCTTTATGCCATTTTCTCCTGTGGAGAAGAACAGGTCATACAAGTAAAGAATTGCAAGGGAGTGGAAATCCCATTCTTTCAATGCCCCCTCTGGCTTGTACCCCCACCTGTCTGCTGCTTCTCCCAGCTTCTTGCCATCCCACCTAGTCACCCGATTTGGGTTCCCTTCCACCTGCCTGTTTAGCCATGCACTCGCCCCACCTCTACATCCCAACATTGTGACACTGGAGGGAGAAGAAGCACCTAGGTTGGGTAGGAAAGCCAGAAACAGTGTAGTAAGCAAAAGGGCAAGTGGGGGAAGCAATCTCACCTGCCCCCTTTTTGCCACCAGTTTGTGTGCCCGAAACCTGGCACTGTTTTAGAAATTGTTGCTTGTAATAGTTACGGTCAGTTTTACCCAAATTCTTCCCTTGCCAGTCTTCTATGGGGCCTCCCTTGCACCTATTTTTTTAATTTGCTGGGGGCCATACTTGGCTATTAGGTATCTGAGAGAAGGGTACCCCATGAGGACTTGCAAAGGGAGGGGGGAATCCATTCCCTCTGCTTCCTTTCCTATTGCTCTGCCTAATCACCTGCTTTCCCCCATCCTCTCCTCTTCCCCCTGATTGCACATTTTCTTCCCCCTTCCCTTCCCACCTAACTAGCAGGTCCCCTCAGTGGTTCTTTAACACTCTTTTTTCACAGTTTTATTTATAGGGCATTGGTGTATGTGCAAATTATGTTGAAGATTTTAGCCCCCTATTTTTGGGGAGGAGGAAGGTAAGTTTTCCCCAAACCTGGGAATTATCCCTGATTTGCAGAAACATATACCTGAGCCCCAGGTGCTTCCCTTTTTTGATCTACACTGGAGGGTAACCATTTGCAATTAGATATTTATTTAACTTTTATCCCGCCCTCCCTGCCACAGCAGGCTCAGGGCGGCTCACAACAAATTACACTAAATAAAACAATTTATTAAATAAAATTACAAGAAGTCTAAAAACAGTACATAAAGTGCTAGCAGTGATGTTGTAAAATGGTGAGAATCTGACAGTCAGTTAAGTGCATGGTCTGGGTCTTGTCAGCGGTGCACAGGCTATTCAGTCAATATAATATCGATGTCAGTGATATTATTGTTGTTGATGGTATTGCTGTTGATAGTACTGGGACCAGGGCCTTGGACGAATGGGAGCGCCTCTAATTGAAAGCCTGGTGGAAGAGCTCCGTTTGACAGGTCCTATGGAACTGTAAAAGGTCCTGTAGGGCCCTGATGCCTTCCGGGAGCTCATTCCACCAGTGTGGAGCCGCCAGTGAGAAGGCCCTGGCCCTCGTTACTGAAAGCCTGGCTTCTCTGGGGCCTGGAAGAACCAGGCGATTTTGGGAACCAGATCTTAGTGCTCTCTGGGGAGCCTATGGAGAAAGGCGGTCCCTTAGGTAAGTAGGTCCCTAGCCATATAGGGCTTTAACTGGCTAGAGAGCCAGTTTGGTGTAGTGGTTAAGTGCGCGGACTCTAATCTGGGAGAACCGGGTTTGATTCCCCACTCCTCCACTTGCACCTGCTGGAATGTGTTCCCGCACAGGGAGACCCAACAACACATGGCTGCCGCATTCTGCACCAGCTGCAGCTTCTGAACTTGGGACAAGGGCAGCCCCATGTAGAGGGCATTACAGTAATCCAAACTCGAGGTGACCATTGCATGGATCACTGACGTTAGGTCATTGCGTTCGAGGAAGGGAACCAACTGCTTAATCAGCTGAAGATGGTAAAAGGCTGACTTTGCAGTGGCTGCTACTTGGGCTTCCATTGTAACGGAGGCACCCAAGGGCACTCCCAAACTCCTAACCTCTGGCGCTGGCACCAACGGCACCCAATCATAGGTCGGAAGTGGTATCCCTACCCCCAGACTGCTCCGACTCAGGCATAGGACCGCCGTCTTCATCGGATTCAATTTCAGCTGGCTCAGTCTAAGCCAACCAGCCATGGCTTGCAATGCCAGGTCCAGATCTTCCGGACTGGAGTCTGACTGGCCGCCCAACAACAGATAGAGCTGGGTGTCATCCACATATTGGTGACACCCTAGCCCATACCTTCGGGCAATCTGGGCAAGGAGATGCATGTGGATGTTAAATAACATTGGGGAAAGCACCGCCCCTTGGGGCACTCTGCAGACAAGGGGGTACCTTTGTGACAGCTGTTCCCCTACTGCCACCCTTTGTCCCCTGGAGGAATGAAGAGAGCCACTGCAAGGCAGACCCCTGGATCCCAGTGTTGGTGAGGCGGTGGGTCAGTACTTGGTGGTCGACTGTGTCAAACGTTGCCGACAGGTCTAACAACACCAGCACCACAGAACCGCTTCGATCCAGATGCCTCTGAAGGCTGTCAGTGAGGGTGACCAGTGCCGTCTATGTCCCATGGCCTGGTCGGAAACCGAACTGGAAGGGGTCTAATACGGAGACATCATCCAAAAAACCCTGTAGCTGGGCCGCCACCGCCCTCTCAATTAGTTTGCCCAAAGATTGCGAAGGCCTTAATCTTTAGTATCAACAACACATTCAAAGCCTGAATATGAAAAATATTTGTTTCTAAGGGCCGCTTCACACACTACAGAATAGGTATGTCCACATCAATAACTTGTTGTGTACTTATTTTTTCTCATAATGTGAGAAATTGGCTATACAACTTTTCTTTGCTAGCACCAAAATATGTACCTCTGTGATGTGGGCAATTATGGCTTGTTCCTGTGGTGTAGGCATGGTGGGGAAAAGATGTGTAGTTGTCTCATGACCACCAAAGCAAGTATACACTAAGGGTACAGTCCAGCTGAAGGAAAGCCCCCTGATTTCCATGAAAGATAAGCAAATACGGCTTTAAAGCACTCTCTTCCATTCAAATCAATTGGAGTTAATTACCTTTGGCTGCTTTGTGTCCTAAATATTCATTTGTACTATAGGATACAGCAAGTCTTAAACAATAAAATTTTGTATGTGAAGCTGTCAGAGACAGGGATTCCTATACCTGTTAAAATGTTACTTAGGAAAAACCATTTCTGGCTCCTACCTAGAGCATGGTGAAATGGCTATACCTAGATCTTTACTAGCACAAGTAGTAAATCACCACTATATTTCACTAGTGTCGTAGTTAATGGAGCGAACAAAGCAAAAACTGTGAATTACTTTCTTTTAAGTTGTACATCATAAAAATAACATATCATTTAGAAATAAATATACAATCATTTAGCTGCACTGCCTATGCAAAAAGGGTGTTTTCACATACCTTCAACTGCTTTAAGAACTTTTCCTTTAGGACGCTCCCAATCAATAAAGAAGATATCTATCGTAAATTGGGTAACAAGCATGTGCAAAAATTGTACCACCTAAGGAAATCAGTAATGAAAAAAACTGCACTGCCTATGCAAAAAGGGTGTTTTCACATACCTTCAACTGCTTTAAGAACTTTTCCTTTAGGACGCTCCCAATCAATAAAGAAGATATCTATCGTAAATTGGGTAACAAGCATGTGCAAAAATTGTACCACCTAAGGAAATCAGTAATGAAAAAAACCCAACCTTAATTAGCACTTAAGGAAAGCAAGTCAACTTGTAAGAAACGCCCCCCCCCCATGCTTAGGCAAGTCCAAAATGGTGGCCAAGGTCTCATAATGCTCCATTGCAAAATATCCTATTTTCTCTTAAAGGTGTAATGTTTACATAAGCATGCAGGAATATCTAACTTTATGATGTATGTTTTAAAACCTTTTCACTTTATTATTTATTTTCTGGGGGTTTTTTCTGCAAAAAAAATCGTCTTAGTTTGTACACCTCCCAAAAAAAAGATTGTTTGATTTACTGGAGGAGGAGAGGAGAAGAGTTCTTTAGACATATCAGTTACTTTTCCATTAAGTTCATACTTCATTTTAAATCAAGTTAATTAAAAAAATGAATTTATAGCTGAAATTTTAAAATTCAGATTTAAATTTAAAAAGCCACATACTTTTTATCTGGTCTGCAGAGATTAAAGCAGATGTTCTCATTTAAATGGATGCAACAGACACTTTAAAGGGGAGAATCCATGGGACACGCAACATGATTCTTTAACAAGGTAGGAGGAGGGATTCTGATTTTGCAGGGAGAGGAATTTTTTCTTGACAGCACTGGTTTTGGAGAAAAGATTCTAGTCCCCAGAAACTCTATGACGATTTGCCTAAGCCCTAGTTGCTCTAGCAAGATGGTACAGATTCTCCCTTTCTACAAAATGTTGTACTGGGTATTAGATACATGTTTATTTAATGTTCTTATATGTCTGTCTTTCTCCTGAGCATCTCAGGACCCAAGGTGGGCAACAACAGATATAAAAACAATTTAACAAAATAAATATTCAAGCTAATCTAAAAAGTCTTATGTCCTAAGCAATAGGATATTTCACCTATGTCCAAGCTCAGACTGCTCCCAAAACTATCCAAAATGGCTGTTTTTCTACCTCACTGGAAAGCCCCTCAAGGACGTCCTTCTTCACCCAAAGAGTGATTAACACTTGGAATTCACTGCCACAGGAAGTGGTGGGTGCTACAAGCATGGATGGCTTCAAAAGGGAATTAGATAAGCATATGGAGCAGAGGTCCATCAGTGGCTATTAGCCACAAGGTATAGCTAGGGGCTCTGGGGCAAGTGATGCTCTGTCTTCTTGGTGCTTGGGGGGGGGGGGGTCAACAGGGGGGGGGCTTCTAATGTCCTGGCCCCACTGGTGGACCTCCTGATGGCACTGTTATTTCTGGCCACTGTGTGACACAGAGTGTTGGACTGGATGGGCCTTTGGCCTGATCCAACATTGGCGTCTCTTATGTTCTTATGTACTCAACATATTGTTTCTCAGCTTCATTGACTGACCCAAAGTTTTAACACTATAAATGGAGACACATTTTCCTCTCTTAATCTGAAGTCATGGAGTATTAACATTGATTTTTTGCCAGATTTGCTTTTTAAAACTATGCTTTTGACTGATGGAAACATGTTGCTAGGTCTGCAGCAAAAGCTTGAAGGGGGGGGGCAGTTGAAACAAAACATTGTTCCTGTATTCATGACATCCGAAATCCCTTTGCAGTGATCTAAAATGCTGTTTCTACATCTAAAGATTGTTTCTGTATGAGTCTCAAACAAGAAACAGCTATTCTTGTGTATTAATTTGCTCTGGTGGGAATTTGCCTTATAATCATCCAAACACATTGAATGTGGATGCTAAAATGAGCGACGGGCTTCTTTCCATCTTCATTTGTTGCTCTTGAGCAGGTGAACAGCCTGTATTCCAAGCAAAAACATTCAGGAGGTGATAGCAGTGGTGAGTGGGACTTAAAACTTTGTCCAGAAATTCCTCTGTTTGTGTTGGTTTAATAAACTTCTGTTTAAATTTTGCTGTGAACCAATATGACTGCCTACTTTGTGTTCATGGCTTTACAGCACCTATTTTGTTCCTTTGACATTGCTCAGATGGTTTGCTCAAACAGGAGCCTTCCTGTTAAGTAAAGCTTAATGGCAGCTTAGTGATAGTCCCGCACCCCTCCCTGAGAGATGTTTGATAGTATTAATGGGACATTAGCTTTTTAAGAAATTCCTCTGATGTTGTTCCTAATGAGGAACACCCAAATTTGACTCACTGTTTGCTTTTGGCAAAGATCAGTAGCAGCCCGGAAGGAAGGAAGGAAGGAAGGACGGATGGACGGACGGACACTGGGTGGGGAGCTCTGCAGAACTGAGGAAGAGTTGATAGTCTTCCTGCACAATGGTGCCATTAGGGCTGGACTTCAGACAACAAGTCCAAGGCCTGAAGTTACAGGCTCTGCAGGGGAGCCAAAAACATGCTGTAGCTTCACATTTAGGAGGGGCTCCCATAAAACCATTAAGTCCATACTCTAAATGTATCTAACTACTGTAGTGAGAGTGCCTCAGTGCTTATGGCAAATCTTAAGAAGTTCAGCTGCAAGCTTAGCTGACAGACAACTTTCTAGAATTTTCCATGATGGTACTTACTTTCTTTCTTTTTTAATAATCCCCTGGAGGGGGGTGTTTTATTGTTTTTTTCCAAAATGCTACAAACTACAACCAAAAATTAGGGAGGAAAAACTACAACTAGGGAGAAAGAAAAGCAAACCACTAATAACTAAATCCCCAAGAATAGGAGATCATAACATACAGCTTATATACTTGTTATTCTTAATCACTAGTATTACGGTACTTTGAACTTAGTCGATTATGCTAAATCATTTGTCTTTTTACCCATCAATCTATCTGTTTAATGAAACCCCCAGAGCATCCCATAGTTAATATATATTTTTCAGGCACAAATCAGAGTCCTTTAGCCTTATTTTGTCTTATCTCTTCTAATCCTCAGTTTATATGGACTTTTGGGGGCTTCCGCCCCCCTTTTCGGAAGGAGAGTCCTTGTCAGAAGACGCCAAGCCCAACTCGCCATCGGATTTGCTTTTTTCTTCTTCTTCCTTGTCCTCCGCTGGTTCCCCCAGCTGTACTCTCAGGAACTCACGTGCTTTAAACACAGAGTCAATCTTTTCTTTTTTGTCGTGGAGTTTGAAAATGACGCCTTCAGGAATTAAATCTTTGTATTTCTTTCTCTTCTGTCTTATCTCAAATGGGATATCTTTTAAAATCCTGATGTTGTTGTCCCCGATTCTCAAGGGTGTTCCAGTAGTTGCTTTCAAGATAGAGTCTCTCACGTGTCTCTTCGAGAATCTGACTACTATCTCCCCAGGCAGACTATTTTTCTTGATGTATGAGGAATAGGACCTGTAGACCACATCCATCTCGCTGTAAAGATATTCTGCTTTCAAATCAGTTACTGGGGCTAATGCTTCACTTAGTAATTGCTTCAGATTCTCTCCTTTTAATTCTGGTACCCCTTGGAACCGTAGGACCAGATTTGCTTTCTCCATCTGCAGCTGTAAAAGTTGTGATTCTTCCGCAGCTTGTTTCATTTCCAGCTTTTGCACCTTTTCCTTAACTCTTTTAGTATTGGCGTCCACTTCCTTCACCTTCTCAGCCATTTGCTCCGTTACTTTTAAAGACTCAGTCAGTTGGAGCTGCTGAGACGCCATACTTTGGCTTATTGTTGACAGTTGTTGCTTAATATTAGTCATCTCATCCAGCAGAGGGCGCAAGAAATCTGCCAACATTTTTGAAAGCTCAGCGGCCTCTTCCGTTCGAGGACTACCCACTAGTTTCGCTTTCAAAAGTTTTTCTTTCTCTGGTTTCTTCCCCGCCATCTTTTGGGATTTGTTTACTTATCGCGTTGCTAAAGTCTCTGAAATTCGCCCTTACGCTTAACCACGCTCTGGTAAGTCTCGTAAAACAAATTTGAATGCTCATTCTTCTGCTCCCCCCTCTTTATTTTGTGCTTTCGTTCATGCGTTTGGGAGACGCCCCTCCCCCGTTCGCTTTTCGTCGCTCCGTGGGGGGGTAGCTTTCTTTTTGACTTCTCATGCTCGCTTTAACCCGATTCACAGTTCGTTGTCGGCCATTCGGCCACGCTCGGCATCGTTTACTTCGCTCGATCTCCGACGCTTGTCCCGGTCAGCGGCTCTAAGTCCATTTGGACACTCAGCGGCAGGACCGTCGGGGCGGAGGAGCGCCTCAATTCTCCGGCATCGTGCCAGCGAAGAGGTCGCCCCTCAAAAGCCCCATGGCTAGGAGCCGTTTGCCAAGGCTCCGGGGGGGGGGCGCGCGATTCGTTGCGCCCTCTCCTACACGCTGGTGTGCAGATTACATCCCCGGGAGGTCCGGGAGATGCGTCTGCCTGCGTGTCGCCATTAACTGGATGAGTTTCAAATAACTTTTGAACTTGGTGTGGCATACAAAAGTTTCCTATGCTTTCATTGGTGCTTTTATGTAATAAGTCGCAACGAGGACTTACCCGCAGCAGCCTTCGCAGCTTCAGGGCTGGGGAGCACAGGAAGAGATAGCCATCTGGTCCATTGGCTGGCTGCATGGTCTCGTACCTGGGGCAAGGACCAGCAGGGGCAGTGGAAAGCTTACATCTGGGGGGAGGGGGGAGCTGCAGGCGGTACAGGGAGCTCCTCCTTCCTGCCCTCCCCTATTTAACTGGCTGCCACTGAGCGCCTGCTGTCAGCTTTTCATAGCTTTCCCCTCCCACCTTCCCTGTGCCTTGTTTGTTAAGCTCCGTGCTTCAGGTTTGTGCTTCAGTTATGTGTTATTCAATTGCCACAGCTTTTTGGTGGTTTAAGCATTGGAGTGGATCCTTTTGGAGGGAGGAAGTACCTGTGTGCCTGCCTCCCCCAGTTTTGGGACTCCCTTAAGGGGTCTTAGGGTGGAGCCAATTCAGCAACATGGCCAGTCGGGGGCTGTTGGTGGGGCTCTCACCACGAGGTGGCAGGAAAGTAAGCAGCAGTGTTCCCTCTAAGCTGAGTTAGTGTGAGCTAGCTCACAGTTTTTTTGCCTCCAGCTCACACATTTTTGTCTTAGCTCAGCAAGGATGGCTTCAGAGCAAACTAATTTATGCAGTAGCCAAATTGCTTGCTCACAACTTTAATGCCAGTAGCCCACAAAGTAGAATTTTTGCTCACAATACTCCACAGCTTAGAGGGAGCATTTGGCACCCATGTGGATCCTGGAGGTTGCCACTCTACAGGTTTCACCCTCAGCAGGCAGGCAGGCTGGGGTTAACTGAGCAGCAGGTGGGTTGCCTGATTCCACAATCTGCCCCCATGCTGCACCAGTGCTCCTACAGTGCAATGAATAAAGTTGTGGCCTTTGATTTTCCAAGAAACTTTTGGCTATGTGTACTTATTCTTTGATGGCACTCCCTCTTTAGCCCTGGGCACGCAAAATGCATGGATTTCATAGTCTGCAAAGATACTGCAGTCAAGTGAACTGTATGGTATAAGAGAGACATTTGATCGACTGTTGGTTTTTGTGTTTTCAGTGGGATGCTTCCATTTTTTGTTTCTTCTTCATGTACTTTGCCAACAGTGAATCCTACTGAACTCAGTGAACAAAACACTATTCAGACTGGGCTGTTAGACTAGGCTATATGGCACTAAACCAACCTTTATATTGCAGAAAATGGCAGAGGATCTACATTTTAAACAACATATTATATAATTCCCTACAATTCACACTGACTCATACCTGCAAATCAATCATAGGACTCCCTATACGCCTCTTCCAGCCAGCAGTCTTGAGAAGGGACCATAAAACTGCCAACCCACCTAGAACACCCAGTGCTATCTACAAGGAAAGATGAACAAAGAGTTATGCTACCTCACCTACAGAAATCAGCACCAAATTTTAATAAACTAAATATGGTGGAGAGGCAACTTACATCGGTCTGACTGCGAGCCTCTGACTGGTTCATTTCGTAGTTGACTGAGAAGGAAACCTGAAGAGTATTTATTTTAGAACAGGCATTCAATACATCAACTTTACTGGAATATTACAGGAAACCTTAAATTACAGTTCATTCAATGTAAACAATGAAATTAAGTGTACATTTCCGGATGCTAATCTAAAACTGAGATTTTTTAAAAAAAAATTAGCACAAGAACTAGATAGTACAAGAACTTGAAAACTGGGATGTGACCAGGAAAAAATCTGTGGTCTTGAGACCATAGCTGTGAACCTATCTGATGTTAATAATTATAACAGAGTAAGGACAACAGGGGTGCTGGCAAAATCCACTGTGTGAAAAGTACAGGAAGGGGGGATCGAAATTTCTGAGGCCCCGGGGGGGGGGAATGCCTCACTTGGTCATCTTTAAAAAGGGGTGTGTGTGAAAGTATCACTCATGGCACTGTGGTCTCTCTCAGTGGCCTATTCACAGGGCTCTTCAGCAACCCTGGCTCTGAGACTAGGTCAGTTGCCACATGAGGGCTTAGAGTTTGAAAATCACAAGATTATTTACCTGGTAGCTGACTGAACTTCATTTGAATCGTTAAGAATTACTTCTATTATAATTTGTGGATGAAGAAAACAAAAACATTGAATTATGGTATGAGACAGACTCTGTCTACAGGAGCCTCTGCCTGGATGCTTACCATTCCAGGATGATTGACCACTCACAACCTAAGAAGGCTCTAGTGGCATTTTCTTGGGATACACAGACCCATCCTGACCCTATTATTTAATTGTAAGCTTTTAGAAAACAAGATCTTACACTCTATAACCAATATTTTCATGGTTACACACCTTACTCTTGTTACGTTCTTACCATGTTTACATAACCATAAATATCGCCTGGAGCAAACATGCAGTCATTTTGTATGGGCTGACATTAGAGGACCACAGTTAAGCAAGAGGTTCGTTTTAGTTCACTATACTTCAACCGTTACAAATTGTCGAGTGCACCTTTTCAGTAAATTCTGGATTCTGTAAAATCAGTCACATTATTTTATTACAACCTGAAAAGCAATTGTTCACTGTCTGCTAATCTCACATTGCATAACTTATTTTATACAACAAGCTGGCTGAGTTTCTGTTAAATGAGGCTCCAAGTCAATGTAAGAGTTACATAAGAACTCACCACCACATTCTGAGTACTAGGATTTTGGATGAGAACATCGCTGTAGGAAACTGCAATGAGAGGGGGGTAGATGGCTCCTCTCTGAGTGTTAGGCACAAGACGAATACTGCAGAAAAATATTCAACACAATAGCTGTGAATAAGTATTAGAAAACTAGACACTAAACATAACCCCAAACCCTATGGCTACCATAGATTTGTGTGAGAGAGAAAGTGGAGAATGTCCACATGATGAATATGAAATTATATTTTGATCTATTTAAATTTTACTTAATTTCATTACACAGATTATGTCAAGTAACAGTCGGTTGATCTATTTAAATTTTACTTAATTTCAATACAATCACAGGTTATGTCAATTAACAGTCAGCAACACAAAAGAAAATATGTGCATACATTAAGACAAAGAAATTTTGATTTTCTGCTTCTGAACTTCGTGAACAGTGAGAATATTTCTTGACGCCATCTCCCACTGTCAAAAAGGAAAGCCGCTGCACACTGTGTATATGGAGGGAGGGGGAGGCCACAAGAGCCACAGGTGGGCCTTGCACAGCCGCAGGCCCGGTGGCTTCTGCTTCCCCAGGCTGGAATCCGATAAAAAGGCAGGCCCAGCTGAGAGGGAAGAGGACGGACTGCAAGGAAAGGAGGCTGCCAAAGGAGAAGCAAAGACAGATCTGCAAGAAAGGACAGGTTTGGGACTGGAGTCCAAGAGGATCAGGCAGCAGAGAGCAAGGACAGGCAGAGCTGGGAAAGGCAAGGCCAGCAGGCAGGCTTCAAGCCTAGGGAAGCGAATGCAGACCCAAATTAAAGGGACAGCAGTCTTTGCCCGTATGCGTAACAAGAGTAAATAAAGGGCTCAAGGCAGCTGATAAGGATGGGCAATAAGGGGATCACTGTATAAGTCCTAAGGTATCGTTGAGCACAATCATATCATTCAGTTTTAAAAGCAGCTTAGCTCTTCAAAAATGACAGCTGCAGCAAAACAGACTTCCTAAGAAACCTCAGCTGCACAAGGGGGTATCCATATTTAATTTACTTTTTTGGGTTGTGGTTATCATTTATACAGCACTTTTAATGTGTAAAGTACCTTGCAAATCTTCACTTAATCTCTCTAGGACTGAAATAGTGCCTTGTCTAAATGTAACCGAGTAACTATATACTTGAGCAGGAATTAGAATCCCTACTTTTCATACTGAAGTCCAAGAGTCTCTGAATTACGAATGCCACTATTCTAGGCAAAATCATGTATACTCTCCTGATTGCAGTGGAACAAATGCGACTGTACACTAGCCTGTGGCCACTACCTCTGTGAACTTTATTCTATATAAACACTAGCATTTCTCGTCATGAAAAAGGAAAAAGAAAAAAATTACTATGGTGGAAAAACTTCCTAGATGGTGAGAACATTTGCCCTTTCAACTACCATGTTTTCTAATACTGATCAAAAACTTAAGGTGCTAATGCGTTTTTTTTAACACGTGAGAGGATGGCGTCAGAATGAGAATTACTGCAAAAAGCTGCCAAGCTCACAAAAATAATACGAAAGCTTATTAATTACATTCTAAGTGATGTTCTTCTATTTTGCAAGATAGTTCTAATATATTCCTCAATATACCCCTTAACTGTTGCTAAGTCTTGGTACAGACATTTATATAGCCTATCAGGAACTGGGCACCTATTATACTCAGAGGTTAAGACGCTGAGCTGCAGATCAGAAGGTCTGTAGTTCGGCAGTTCGAGACCCTAGTGCCGTGTGATGGAGTGAGCTCCCGTCTCTGGCCCCAGCTCCTGCCAACCGAGCAGTTTGAAAGCAAGAAATTGCAAGTAGATAAATAGGTACCACTTTGGAG